AAGGCCCCAGTGGCTGCGTTCGCATGCCGCCCCCACACCAATTTCGGCACACCCCTCACACGTTTCGTGGCCCCACAGGGGAGCTCCACCGAAGGCCCCAGTGGCTGCGTTCGCATGCCGCCCCCACACCAACTTCGGTGCACCCCTCACACGTTTCGTGGCCCCATAAGGAGCTCCACCGAAGGCCCCAGTGGCAACGTTCGCATGCCGCCCCCACACCCATTTCGGCACACCCCTCAAACTGTTCGTGGCCCCATAGGGAGATCCACCGAAGACGGTACTCACACCAGAATTACTCACAACTTCATATGGTTGGGTCCTTCGCCAGGCTAGTTTTAGCAGAGTCGGGGCTCAAGGGGAGGGTGAAAGCGGAGATGGGAGGTCGAGCCCTCTGCCCGCGTAGACCGCGTGATATGCCGCTGTGCGCTACGCGCGCGTGCATGGCAGCTCAATCTACCCCGCACAGCGCGCGATCGGCGGGGCGCACCGCCGCCGACCAAAGATCAGAACGTAAGTCATCCACAACCGCAAACTGAAGACAGGCAAGAAGATTAGGCACGCAAGATGAATGACGCGTGCACGATGCAGGTCAAAACACAAGGAGAACTCAATCACTACGGGCACATGTCACGTGCCTCTCACATCCTCATCGCGTTCTGACTCTATTGGAGGTGGTTCTCCAACCATTCAGTCCATTCCTGCAGCTCCTCCTCCATGTATCCAGGCGGTGCTGCTCCCCGTAGGTGCCGTGCCCCGAGCTGGCGCAAAGCGTCGATCACGGGGTAGCGCTTCTCGGCCATCGGTTGAATGCCCCAAGATAAGCTTGACCTGGTCCTCCTGCGCCGTCTTGGTGATCCTGCACACCCTGATGATGATGATGATGATGATGATGATGATGATGATGATGATGATGATGATGCAATGACTGCCTTCTTGCTAAGGATCGGCGCTACCCCTGAATAGTTTTAAGACGCATACCATATACACGAGTGAACGGCTGCAGGCGATAGTGCGTGCGAGGCGGACCTAGTCTCTGGGATGGAGACGCCGTCTCTCCAGCCAGCCGCAGCGTGCGAGTTGGTCGGCGGGACCAGCCGCCGAGGCACGTCGCCTCAATGGCTCCTCGGTCACATCGCCCTGTCTGTGCAGAGCGCTTCCGCTTTCCCCTCTTGCACGCTGGCCAATTCGCTTTTCGGCGCCCCCGTCAAGCTCTTTCGCTGGTGCAGCCAACTCTGCCTTGCCGCCGACAAACAAAGTACAGAGCGCTTCGGTCCTCACGACCGCAAGCCACTCCTCCGCTTCGCCAGGCTGCCGTGGGGTCTGACACTCAGTTTGTCCTATGGCATGTCCAGTAGCAAGTTAATGGCGCAGGATGAAGCATGGTGGTGATGGCGCTGGCGATGGCGATGGTAATGGTGATGGTCGGAGGTGAGGGGGTGAGATCGAAGTGGAACGGAGAGCCCCCCTACCGGGAAATCGATTTCGGTTTCGTGTTCGTGCGTGCCGTGCGTGCGGGCGAGGCGAAGCTGCGTGGGCGGGCGAGAGGAAAGTCTCCTGTGGCTGAGGCGCGGCCGGACCAAATGATTCTCCACCGGGCGGCCGGTGGCGCGCGGTGTCCCGCCGGTGTCCCGGTGGTGTCCTCTGTGGCTGAGGCGCGGCCGGACCAAATGATTCTCCACCGGGCGGCCGGTGGCGCGCGGTGTCCCGCCGGTGTCCCGCCGGTGTCCCGTCGGTGTCCCGTCGGTGTCCCGTCGGTGTCCCGATCATGATGTTGATGATGATGATGATGATGATGATGATGACGATGATGATGATGATGATGATGATGATGATGATGATTATGATGATGATGATGATGATGGTGATGATGATGGTAATGATGTTGATGATGTTGATGATGGCGATGATGATGAGGTTGATGATGTTGATGTTGATGTTGATGTTGATGATGATGATGATGATGATGATGATGATGATGATGATGATGATGACGTCGATTGCGAGATCGATTGTGATCGGTAGTGAGACCGAAGGTGAGACCGAATGTGAGATCGATTGTGAGATCGATTGTGAGATCGATAGTGAAATCGATAGTGAGACCGAATGTGAGATTGATTGTGAGATCGATTGCGAGATCGATAGTGAGATCGATAGTGAGACCGAATCTGAGATCGATAGTGAGATCGATAGTGAGATCGATAGTGATATCGAGAGTGAGATCGATCGAATGAGATCGATAGTGATATCGATAGTGATATCGATAGTGAGACCGAATGTGGGATCGATTGTGATATCGATAGTGACATTGATAGTGAGACCGAATGTGGGATTGATTGTGAGATCGATTGTGAGATCGATAGTGCGATCGATAGTGAGACCGAATGTGAGATTGATTGTGAGATCGATTGTGATCGATAGTGAGATCGATGGTGAGACCGAATTTGAGATCGATTGTGAGATCGATAGTGAGATCGATAGTGAGACCGAATGTGAGATCGATTGTGATATCGATAGTGAAATCGATGGTGAGACCGAATGGGATATCGATAGTGAGATCGACAGTGAGACCGAATGTGAGATCGATTGTGAGATCGATTGTGATATCGATAGTGAGATCGATAGTGAGACCGAATGTGAGATCGATTGTGAGATCGATAGGGAGATCGATAGTGAGACCGAATGTGAGATCGATTGTGATATCGATAGTGAAATCGATAGTGAGACCGAATGGGATATCGATAGTGAGATCGATAGTGAGACCGAATGTGAGATCGATTGTGAGATCGATTGTGATATCGATAGTGAGATCGATAGTGAGACCGAATGTGAGATCGAACGTGAGATCGATAGTGAGATCGATAGTGAGACCGAATGTGAGATCGATTGTGATATCGATAGTGAAATCGATAGTGAGACCGAATGGGAGATCGATAGTGAGATCGATAGTGAGATCGAATGTGAGATCTATAGTGAGATCGATAGTGATATCGAGAGTGAGATCGATCGAGTGCGACGTTGGTCCCTCCCTCCCCTCACCTCCTTATCACCCTAAGGGTGGTCGTATAGGTAATGGTGATGGTAATGGTGATGGTGATGGTGACGGCTCATGGTGGTGATGGTGGTGATGATGAGGGCGATGATAATGCCGATAGTGACACGTTGGAATATGATTCATAATGGTAGTAATACTAACGACACCGACGTAATGGCTAGTAATAATGAAAAGGCATGCTTGCATGGCCGTGGCGCCCCCGTGCTGCCACCTGCGGGGCAGGGCGCGCGGGCCCAGAGCCTGTGGAGCCTCTCGCTGCGCGCCAACGCCATCGGCTCGCCAGGCTCCTCCCCTTGGAGGAGGAGGAGGTGGAGGCGGTGGTGGTGGAGGAGGAGGAGGAGGACGACAAGGGAAGGAGGTGGGGGAGGAGGAGGAGGAGGAGGAGGAGGAGGAGGAGGAGGAGGAGGAGGAGGAGGAGGAAGAGGAAGATGGGGGAGGAATGCGAGCAGGGGGAAGACAAGGGGGACGTGGGGTTGAGGAGGAGGAGGAGGAGGAGGAGGAGAACGTGGAAGAGTGGGAGGAACGGAAATTCCCTCCTTGGTATTTGCCAGGCTTCTCTTTCCCGCTCTGCTCCTCTCCTTCCAAAAATCCCTCCCTGCTATGTGCTCCCTGATAACCTGTGTGTTCCCTGGTAAGTCCGCGGCCGAGCCCCCTCTACTCAGGGAGGGAGGGGGGGAACGAGAGGACCCGATCGGGAGAGGAGGACCGGATTGGGCCCGGTCGGGGTACAGCCGCGGCGGGGCCCCCCTGTCTGCCCAGGGACGGAGGGAGGCACCCGATCGGAGGGATCGGAGGGAGGGGCTGGGGCGGGGGGGAGGAGGGGGGCGAGCGAGCGCGCGAGGGAGGCAGACCCCGCCCCCACGCGCGGGGCGCGGAGGCGTCGGCGCCCCCCCCCCCCGCGCAGGCTGCGAGGTGCTCGTGGAGGCGCTGAAGTACTGCCCCGCGCTGCGGAGGCTGGACATGTCGCAGAACCCCGTGGGCAAGGGCGGAGGCCGCGCTCGCGCACGGCTGCGGTCGCGCCGTCCTCGCCAGCATCGTCGCTGCCACGGCCGGCATCGTCATCCCCTTCGCTATCACCAGCGTCGCGTGCATCACCGTCGCCATCATCTGGGGCGCTCCAAGAAGGGCCTTGCCTTTGAGCACAGAGGGAGTTGTCATCTCTCCCTCGGCGGAAGGCGGCGGAAGGTCGGCGGAGGTACAGTCGGGGCCCTGAAGAAGGAACCCTTTTCGTTTGGGAGGGGCTCCGTGTTCCTTAGTTGTTTTACAGCGCTCCTTGGGTTTTCCCCAGGTTTTCCATGGGAAATCGGAGTTTAACTTATGGGAAGAAGGGGCCTCGTTCCTTATTCAGGGTTCCTTAGATCAACGCCCCGACTGTAAAACGAGTCCGCCTCCGCCGGCGGAAGCCGGCGGAAGCCTGTGGAAGGGCGGGGGCAGGCGGCGGAAGTGAACACGTTTTTGGGTTCAGGGTTTCCGAAGTCCGTCTGAATTTCGAGAGCTGGCTAAGGGTGTTGAACCAATCTACCGTTGACTACACGCAGCTGAGGGGCATCAAACGTAGGCTGATGTTTGAAGGGGGGGATGGAGGAAGGAGGAAGGGTGGAGCAGGGTGGGGAAGGAGGAGGCGTGAGAGGGTGTTGAGGGGAAAAGAGAAGAGCGGGGCACTTCAGATGATGGAGGAGTCGGAGTCGGAGGAAAACGAGGAAGGGGAAGGAAGGAGGGCTGCTGACAAAATCACAAGGTGATATTGCGAGCCTGCGAACTCACTGACCTTCTGACTGAGACGAGGCGGACATGTTTTCTGTCCCAGCCAGGGAGGAAGGGGGGGCAAGACGGAGGAGCAGGGACGAGGGGTAGAGGGAGGCGGGAGGAGAGCACGGGAGTAGGAGACCGAGGGAGGGGTGGAGGAGGGAGGACTCGGCGGATTCCCCGTCGCATGGCCTTCGACACCCGCGCTGGAGGTGCGGCCTTTTGCTTTGCCCTCCCAAGGAGCAGGGGTGGAATCTCTCTTGGAAACAGTCGCAGGCAACCCTGTGATGGGAGGTCCAGGTCGGCGCCCAGCGCTCCCGCGCACAGGGCACGCTTCACCACGTTTAAGTCGGGCCTGTTCCTCTGCAGGAGGAAGAGCCAAACATAGTTTAAAAATAGTCTGGGGACGACTTTTCGACTATTGTGGTGTATTGTTTGACTGTTGTGAATTGTTCGTCCAAGATCTGCCTGTAGGAGGACATGCCCGACCTAACATCACGTCCCCGAGCATCCCGAGAGCAGGCTCGTTGCCCCTGCCAGGCTGCCAGGGGATTCCTCCGCAGGGCGGGGGTCCGGCCAGGGTTGGAGCAGCCCCAGCGCGTGCTAGCCACGACCTCTCCAGTACGCTTCGCTTCTCGAAGCAGAACAGCGCCATAATCATCAACTTTTGGCGCTCCGCGCGGATTTCTTTGATCCGCGCTGGGCCCCCCCGGCGGCGCCTCCCGTGCCGCCCCTGGCGCACTCCGCGCGCCAGGGAGGGGGGGGGGTCTGGCGTAGATACAAGAACTCCGCGCGGAGCGCCAAAAGTTTATGTTCATGCCGTTTTTTCTTTTTTGTAAGATTGCCAGGGGTTTTTTCCGCATGGCGGGGGTCCAGCCAGGATTGAAGTAGCCCTAGTGCATGCTAGCCACGATCTCTCCAGTACGCTTCGCTCCGACATCGCCTGACCCTTCTTTGCGCCACTGACCGGAGGTCTTGCGCTCGTTGAGCTGCTTCAGTTCAGCATGAGCTTGCTCGAGCTCTACCTCGCAGACACCGAGGCGCCATCTTCGAACGAGAGGAAGGGGGCTGCCTGCTCTGGGACACTACTCAGACGTCGTTCGCCGCTCAAAGAGACGTAGTCCTGCGAGCCGAAGCATGTGAGGGCATCCCAACCTCTGTGCCCCTCTTGTGTCTGCGCGGGCGCGCGGACTGTGGAAGAGAGTCCAGGGAGTAGGAAAACGGAGAGCGATAGAGAGAGAGAGGGAGAGAGAGAGAGAGAGAGAGAGACAGAGGCTGAGCAACGAACATGAGAGATGGAGTCTGGCAGACAGCGCCTTAAACCCTCCCCCTCCCACTCTCCTTCCCCCATCCCCCTCCCCTTTCCTCCCGCTCCCCCCTCTCCCCCTCCCGATCCCCATCCGTCGCGTTACCCTCGCCCCGTTTGCGGTTCTGGCCCCCGCTTGGCTGGACGAGACGGAGGAGAAGGAGAGGAGGAGGAGGAGGAAGAACAACGACAGGAAGAGGAGCAGACAAATGGCAAAGGAGGAAGGGGAGGGGAGGGGCAGGAGGAGGGGCCAATCGCCCCTGAAGTTAACAGGTCCAGCCCAGCCATAGCCGGCAAGCCCCTTGCGCAAAGCATGGGGGGATATTTTCGTTGGAGGGGGAATAGTTAGCATCAACCTCCGAGGGTCGAGGGGGGAGCTCCAGGCCCCGAAGGAGAAGAAGTGAGTTCACACGGGAAATGCACATGCGGCACGTAGGTGCCAAGGCGCATACAGCATCGGCTTCGCCAATACCCGCCTCTGAGCTCTCCCTCCTCAGTGCGCATGAGAGCATGCACATGTGGATCATCGAATGCACGCGCATGTAGATACGAGGCGGAGCACGAGCGGGTATGACCGCATGAAGGGAAGATGAGGAGGATGAGGAGGGGGAGTAGGAATAGGAGTAGGAGCAGGAGTAGGAGTAGTAGGAGTAGGAGTAGGAGTAGGAGTAATAATACGAGGAGCAGTATGGGTAGTATTAGTAGTAATGGTAGTAGTAGTAGTAGTAGTAGTAGTAGTAGTAGTCGTAGCAGTAGTAGTAGTAGTAGTAGTAGTAGTAGTAGTAGTAGTAGTAGTAGTAGTAGTAGTAGTAGTAGTAGTAGTAGTAGTAGTAGTAGCTGTAGTAGCAGCAGCAGCAGCAGCAGCAGCAGCAGCAGCAGCAGCAGCAGCAGTAGTAGTAGTAGTAGTAGTAGTAGTAGTAGTAGTAGTAGTAGTAGTAGTAGTAGTTGTAGTTGTAGTAGCAGTAGTAGCAGTAGTTGCAGCAGCAGCAGCAGCAGTAGTAGTAGTAGTAGTAGTAGTAGTAGTAGTAGTAGTAGTCGTACTAG